AACTAGTGGGAATGGCAATAGTGCCAAAAAAGAAGCCATTACAAGGGAGTAATGAAAAGGTCCACTTTCATAGTGGGAACGACGGACCTGTTGGAATCGATTCACCAATATAGAGTGAAAACGAATCGCAAACCGGTTTAAATGTAAGTGGGAACGAGCCCTAAGGCGACCGTACCATAGGGTTTTCTTGGCAAGATTTGTTCAGAGTGGATTTGCCTTTGCCTTCCTCTGACGTTGTGACTTCCCCAAGGTGCCTGGCCTAAATGTAGTTTAGGCTAAATGTAATCTTTTCCCCTTTGCTATGTCTTATTAGGATAGTAGGATTTTTAAATATATATATATATAATATACCTGTTTGCAGAAGTATCTAAACAGTAATCTTTATGCTCAAGCTGCTGCCTTGTAGTAGAAAACCATTTTGTCCTGTTCATCTTGTTACCTCAAAACCCACATACAGAGAACAAGGCAGTAGCATGAGGCACAGTGCGAGCCAGCGTTTGAACTGTGAGATATTTTTCTTCGAGTCCATCCACACTACAGAAATAATCTGGGTTGACACTGCTTTAACTGCTAAGGCTCAGTGTTATGGAATCCTGGGAATTGTAGTTTGTTGTAGCATCGGAGCTTTGCTTTGCTGTGGTGCCACAACAAACTACAGTTGTTTGAATTCCATAGCACTGAACCATGGCAGTTTAGCAGTGTCAAACTGGATTATTTCTATAGTGTGGATGCAGCCTTCATTTAGTGAGGTCAAAGCCCTGTAACTGGAGTAGTAGCTAAAAATCATACCACAAAAGGCCTGAAATTATCATTACTTTACAACTGCATTGTACCTTCATGACTAGAATAATAAAATGATGATAACTAGCTAGTTATTTGTAACTATTTATGTCCAAGCTCTGTTGTTTATTGCCATTATTTTGAGACCTGCTTTTGTAGAAAAACATGAAGGAAATTAACAGTGATACTAACAGAAACATTAAAAAATGAAAACTATTTATCCCAATTATCCCAATTAAAAATTAGTCTGGCTGCATCTACACTGCATAATTAATGCACTTTGACACCGCTTTAACTGCTATGGAATTCTGGGATGTGTAGTTTTGTGAGATACTTAGCCTTCTTTCTCAGAGAGCTCTGGTGCCACAACAAGCTACAAACCCCAGGATTCCACAGGATAGCACCATGACAATTAAAGTGGTATCAAAATGCATTAATTCTGGGGAATGGCAGCAACCTAAGACAGGGTTAGGAATCATGCAGCCTTCCAAATGTTGTTGGACTGCAGTTCCCAATACACTTTACCATAAGTATGTTGGCCAGGGCTTCTGGGAGTTGCAGTCCACACAGTATCTGGAAGGCTGCATGATTCCCACTAATGCAATAGAAATACATTAAGGTAGGGCCTGAACAGACTGCCAGAAATAATGCAGCTTGAGACCACTTTAACTGCCCTGGCTCAGTGCTAGGGAATCATAGGAACTGTAGTTTATTGTGGGACCAGAGCTCTCTGACAGAGAAGGTTCAATGCCTCAGAAAAAACTACAATTCCCATGATTCCCTAGCACTGAGCCAGGGCAGTTAAAGTGGTCTCAAACTGGATTATTTCTGGCAGTCTGCACAGGCCCGTAGTCTCCACCAAATCCACCGTAAGAGGCAACCTTTTGCCAGAGATAATTTTTTGCTCCCTGCCAGAAGATGAGCAGTGATGGCTCAGGTAGACTTTCTGTCTTCAGAATGTCTTCTCACCAGAACAAAGAAAGCTCCTGTCTTGGATGCTCACTCTTCGAAGCTTCCTCAAAATATTTTGCTGCCTCAAGCAGGGGTAGGCAACCTTCCCCCTTTAAGGGCCGAGGGACTTCAGCTCCCAGAATCCCAGGAGCTATTGGCCAACATGGGACTATTGGCCAACATGGCTGAGGCTTCTGGGAACTGAAGTCCCTCGGCTCTTAAAGGAGAAAGGTTGCCTACCCCTGGGACTCAAGTGAAGGACAAGATAGCAACTTCAACTCCCTTCAGAACCTGAGAGGACCACCTATCGAAACATACCATCTTCCACTGCATATTAGGACAGAAAGTCAATTTATAGGGCCCAAAACAAGTTGCGTACCATATATAGCGACATCTTCTGATGGTGGTGGAGAAGACACCCATGAAAAATATCACAGTGGTTACCTCGCACTAGAGAGCCAGTGTGGCGTAGTGGTTTGAGTGTTGGACTACGACTCTGGGGACCAAGGTTCGATTTCTGCTCAGCCATGAAAACCACTGGGTGATTTTGAGAAAGTGACATCCTCTCAGCCTCAGGAGAAGGCAATGGCAAAGTTCCTCTGAACAAATCTTGCTAAGAAAACCCCATGATATCATGGCCTTAGGGTCACTGTAAGTCGGAAACAACCTGAAGGCACACAACACCAACACCACCTCACATTCTCTAATAGCAGAAGTGGCAGAGTGCCACAAAATGGAGCCTTAGAAGTACATCTGAAAGGCCAGGTAGATCCATATCACTTTAAATCCAGCCAAGTGACCTCAGGAAAAAATTGCTTTATATTCTCTGCCCTATCTGCTGAGGGTAGGGCTCTTAAAGAAGCACTTCTTAAGATATCTGATGTAGGGACTGGCAGCATTTTCCCCTCAATGTGTTGGGGACTGGTGCCATATTTTTGTCTATTGGCTATAATTGTTTCTTTCTTTCCTGGAAACTCCCCAAATACAAAAAAGACGATCGCTCATGGACCAGCACTGGTCCTACACCTCAAAAAACAAGAGGAAAAGAAGAGCAGTTCAACATGTCTCAGCAAACTTTTTGTTCAAAACTAACAATATACACCTTTGAAATGAAACAACCAGGTCACGTAAGCCATGCATAAGAAAACAAGAACCTTTTGAACCTTTTAAGGACTACCTGAAAACTTCTTCCTAAATGCTTCTAAGGGTGACATTTTCTTTCTCTATCCCCACTTTTTATTATTTTGGTGGCTAAATTTATAATGTTTGGTTGTTTTTTTAAAAAGCAGTCTGGAAGAAGCTGGAGAGGCAGGCATATCTGCTTTCTCCCTTTCTGTTTTGCTTTGTAGGCATGTTCAATGAGGGATTCTGGAAGTAGCTGCTTTTTATCTTGCTTTTTGTAGACAGACACACACAGCTACAGTAGGATCAGCTACTGTAAAATCCTATTTTTTCTAGGTCAAGGTTTACTGCATTATTTAGTGCAAATCTGCTGCTGTAACCTGACATTGAGAGTCAGTGTTTCTCCTGCCCTCTTTCCTCTTCCACCCAATGCAGATGCTGCTAAAAAACCTTACAGCTAAACAGAGGGCCAAAAGGGATGAGAGCAGGGCAGGCATAAAAAGACTTGGTAAAAAGGAAATTGTTTAACAGAAGTTTTGTATGCTTATATGTCGCTGGGTAGCAGCTTGTCCAAGACTACATTGTTGTGTGTCTTCACATTTCCAACATATGATGACCCTAAGACAAACTTATCATAGGGTTTTCTTGGCAAGATTTGTTCAGAAGAGGCTTGCCATTGCCTTCCCCCAAGGCTGAGAGAGTGTGACTTGCCCAAGGTCAGCCAGTGGATTTTATAGCTGAAGTAGGAATCAAACCCTGGTCTCCAGAGTCATAGATAACTCTCAAACAACTATGCCATGCTAGCTCTCATTACATCACATTAGCTGCCTTGAATCTCATCTCAGGAGAACGGCAGAGTATAATTTCAATAAAGATAAATAAATACATAGAGAAGAATCTTTAACAAGAGACATGCATCACCCATACCTAGGCAAGGAAGGGAGAAAGGAGTAGCTTTTGTGGAGTACACTACTGGTTTGATAAAGCTACAGGAAGGGCTGTGAAATAACTACAACTGAGTACATATGAGGCTGTATCCACACTGTAGAAATAATCCAAGTTGACATCAATTTAACTACCAAGGCTCAATGCTATGAACTTCTGGCAATTGTAGTTCTGTGAGACATTTATCTGCCTGTCGGAGAGCTTTGGTGCCACAAAAAACCTACAATTTCCAGAATTCCATAGCATTGAACCATGGCATTCAAAGTGGTATCAACCTGGATTATTTCTGTAGTGTGGATGCAGGCTGAGTGGATTCTAATAAGGGTCCCACCACTTCTTTAAATTTTCTCGTCATGATCCAAGCTCTCTTAGCTGTTTCTGTAGTAACAGTTCTGGCCTCCCAGAGACAAAACCATGCTAGGATTGACAGCCATAGGAAGAACTGAATACAATTTTCTGCTCCTGTATTGACCAATAAAAGCGAAGGCGGCTGGACTTTTTAACTTCCCTCTGTTTTTCAAACAGGTGTATTTGTTGTCCTGCAGCAGAATTTTGTGGAGCCTGGGGAGAAAATAAGATTATCGATTGCTGCAGAAATAGGACCTGTGTAGAAACAGTACTGTATGTTGAGCTCAGTCTCATCAGCAACAGGTTAGCTCCAATTTTATGTTATGACAAGAAAAGCCTTTGCCCCAGAAGTGATATTTAATGTTATGTTTCAGCTCAGGTGGAATAAATCCATATGCACAGAATATCTTTCTGTTGCCAATAAAATGGCAGTAGTAGCAGGACGTAATGTGAGCCAAAGTTTCCAAAGGCTTAAGTCAGGAGCTGGGACCCAGTTTTGAAACATGGTGTGATAAAAGCCACAACAAAGACAACAATCAACTGTTGGGTGGCTCCTTAAAGCAGTGGCGTCATTAGGGTGTGTGTGGGGTGCACACCATGCCAGGTGACGCTCTAAGCGGGGCAACACCACTTCTCCTCAAACATCAGGGTTTTTTTTGCAGAGACAGGCTGTGTCATTCACTTGCTTCCCTTTAAAATGTTTTAAGAGATGGTGGGAGTGGGGTGAAGCTCAGTGGGAGGCAAAAGGAGAGGCCCCAGGATTTTTAAAAAAATAAAATTTGAAGTTTAAACATTTTAAATTATTTTGTAAATAAAATGTTAAAATTCTTTTACAATTTTCCTTAAAAACATCACATTTTACCAAATCTTCACTTTTAGCACATGGAACTAAGTATACGTAAATACATTTAGGTTGTGAGTATGTTATTGTAATTTAAAGGTATAATTTTAATTTTGCTAGTTGTTTATATCACAACTACAGCCGCCCCTTTGTTTTTCCAGGGGATCCGTTCCAGACCTGCCCCCCCACCCATGAAAAAGAAAAATGCAAATATTCAAGCCCTATTGGCTTGAATTGAGGCGCTTGTCTGCAGGGGTGAGTGGTGCGCGCTGCAGGCATCTGCCCCACTTTGTGTCCCTCCGTTCATCCCTCGCGGATAAGCGAGGGTTGTGGACTTCAAGTCCACAAAAACGGAGGTACAACTGTATTGCCATTATATTGCCAGGGCAGTTAAAGTGGTCCCAGAGTGGATTATTTCTACAGTGTATTTTGGACCTTAGATTCTGAGAGTCAGTGTGATTTTGTGGTAAAGAGTATTGAATTGGAGTCTGAAAATTCAATTTTTTAGTCTCCACTGAGCCATGAAATGTATTGTCTGACTTATTGCAAAGTGTATTTATTAGCCTGCCTTTCTCCAAATAAAGAACCAAGCTGGCTCACAACATGGATTAAAACACAATGCATCTGAAACAATCATAATAGCAAAAAACAGTTTTAAAGCAATGAAATAAACTGTCCTAGAAAAAACAAGATTGATGTAAAATAGTTCACGTGGTGTAGTGGTTTGAGTCTTGGACTATGACTCTGGAGACCAGGGGTCAATTCCATGCTCGGCCATGAAACCCAGTGGGTGACCTTGGGCAAGTCACATGCTCTCAGCCTCAGGGGAAGGCAATGGCAAACCGCCTTTGAACAAATCCTGCCAGGAAAACCCCATGATAGCCTTAGGGTTGCCATAAATTGGAAACAACTTGAAGACACACAACACACAATCCAAACCCATGTAAAATAAACAGAATATAAGTATAGCAGCCTTCTGTTGAAAGACATTCCACAGCAACTAGTCTGTAGTTCCAAATCCTGTCTGACTAGAAAGGCCTTTGCTTGCCAACAGAGAGACAGCAGAGAGGAGGCCAGTATATGTTCCCATGGGAGAGAATTTAACCAAGAGCATCCACCAAGGAGGTTGGTAGCACTGAGAAAGCCCTTTTCTGAGGATCTCAAAACTTGAATAGGTCAATATAGAAAGCTGAAATCTTGTGGGTAGTCTACCTCAGAATGTTGTTATGAGCATGAAGGGGAAAGTGGAGAACCATGTACAGTGGTACCTCTACTTACGAAATTAATCTGTTCCAACAGCCA